GGCACCCGCATGGCCCCACAATATGCCAACATTTTTATGGCTGACCTAGAACAACACTTCCTCAGCTCTTGTCCACTCACGTAGCTACATTGATGACATCTTCATCACCTGAACCCATGGGAAGGAACTCGGGAAGAATTCCACCACGATTTCAACAACTTCCACCCCACCATCAACCTCAGCCTGGTCCAGTCTACACGGGAGGTCCACTTCCAGGATACCACAGTACAAATAAGTGACGGTCACATAACCACCACCCTATCCCAAAAACCTACCGACCGCTATGCCTACCTTCATGCCTCCAGCTTCCATCCTGGACACACCACATGATCCATTGTCTACAGCCAAGCACTGAGGTACAACCGCATTTGCTCCAGCCCCTCAGACAGAGACCAACACCTACAAGATCTTCAACAAGCATTCTTGAAACTACGATACCCACATGAGGAAGTAAGGAAAAAGATCAACAGAGCCAGATGTGTACCCAGAAGCCTCCTGCTCTGGGACAAGCCCAAAAAAGAAAACAACAGAACATCAGTAGCCATCACCTACAGTCCTCAGCTAAAACCTCTCCAATGCATCATCAGTGATCTACAACCCATCCTGGACAACAATACCTCAATTTCACAGGCCTTGGGAGGCAGGCCAGTCCTGGCCCACAGACAACCCGCCAACCTGAAGCAAATTCTCACCAGCAACTGTACACCACACCACAGTAACTAACTCAGGAACCAAACCCTGCAACAAACGACGGTGCCAACTCTGCCCACATATCTACACCGGCGACACCATCACAGGACCTAATCAGATCAGCCACACCACCACTGGCTCATTCACATGCACATCTACCAATGTAATATACGCCATCATGTGCCAGCAATGCCCCTCTGCTATATACATTGGCCAAACTGGACAGTTCCTACGCAAAAGAATAAATGGACACAAATCAGATATCAGGAATGGCAATATAAAAAAAACCTGTAGAACACTTCAGTCTCCCTGGACACAAAATAGCAGATTTAAAGGTAGCCATCCTGCAGCAAAAAAACTTCAGGACCAGACTTGAGAGAAACTGCTCAGTTGCAGTTCATCTGCAAATTTGACACCATCAGCTCAGGATTAAACAAAGACTGAATGGCTAGCCAATTACAAAAGCAGTTTCTCCTTGCTTGGTGTTCACACCTCCAGATCAGCTGCTAGAAGTAGGCTTCATCCTCCCTGATTGAATTTACCTTGGTATCTCTAGCCTGAGTCTTGCCTGCACATTTATACCTGACTCTGGAAATTTCCTCTACATTCGTCTGACCAAGTGGGTCTTTGCCCACGAAAGCTTATGCTCCAATACATCTGTTAGTCTGTAAGGTGCTACAGGACTCCTTGTCACTTTTACACAGCACCTGAAACTCAAAATAAGATACGCAATTTGAGCTACGCGAATTGTATATCTTATGTTGAATCTATTTCAAAATAGCTTATTTTAAAATTTGGCGCATTTACACAGTGCCAAATTTTGAAATAACATGCTATTTCGAGCCATCCCTTATCCCTTGTGCAATGAGGGATACCAGGATGGCAAAATAGCTCTCCCATTATTTCGAAAAATATTTTGTGTAGACCTGGGGTAGCTATTTTGGGATTCCTCTCATATCCTGAAACGAAGACATACCCTGAGTGTAGGACTATGTGCATTGTAATACTCTAAGATGAAATTAATGTTTCCTTTTATTTTGTTCTTTCTTTCCTAGGATTACCTGAAAACATGATTTCAGGTAGGTCGGAGGGTTCATGTTTTTGGATGCCTGGTAGTGCACATTGCCTTTTGTGAGTGATTCAGCTTGAGTGACTCAACCAATAAAATTACTCTCCTTCGGTATGCTATTAATTGCTGAAGCTATTTGCAACAGCACGTCTTGTAAGACATAACCCTTTGCTTGTGCAAATGAATAGGGAACTGATGGGGCCAGGTCTTTTCCTCCAGATAAGGTGTATGTTTTTAATAGCAGTGAGATAAATGCAAATTACCCCTCTCTGTAAAATCTTAGGGGAGACAAGGCACAGGGTAGTTCACCTGGATATAGATAGGCCAGGTCAACAACACTATACCATACACAGAGTTGATAGTCTTCTGGAGGAATTTTTTGAGCAATACAAGATGTGCCTTTCCTCGGGGAATGCATGTTTAGTGCATACAAAATGTATCAACAGTAGCACAGTACTAAATATGGAAACCAAGTCTCTTTCAAGGCATTATTACCTGACCACATGCACTCTTCTTTCAGTTTTCTATTGGGGTTCGTCTACATTGGCCCCTTTTCCGGAAGGGGCATGCTAATTTTTCAGATCGTAATAGGGAAATCCGCGGGGGATTTAAATATCCCCCGCGGCATTTAAATAAAAATGTCCGCCGCTTTTTTCCGGCTTTTAGAAAAGCAGGAAAAGAGCGTCTACACTGGCCCCGATCCGGCCCGATCCTCCGGAAAAAAGCCCTTTTCCGGAGGATCTCTTATTCCTACTTATTCCTACTACTCACTGGAGTTGCATTATTATTTACTCTAACATTTCTATACACATGGTTAGCGTTCAAATTATATTAATCTTGCATATAGTTGGGTCAAAGTTAATTTGTTTTTGTAACCATCCTATAGATAGCATAGGAGTACAGTCTATATATCCTGTCAGAACTGAAACCAGATACCTATTGCACAAACTGCAAATCAAACATTGCCCCGGGAGACTCTCCTTCAGCTTATGCCTGATTCTCAGTTTCATTATCCAGATTTTAGGGTAGCTTTTTTCATTGAACAGTGCAAATAAAGGTTTAATTATGATATGTTGAAATAATCATAGCTCATAATTAAATATTTACTCAATTTCTGTGCTAATCTAGTCAATATATACTGGCAAGACTTAAATTCAGCCAGAACCCACTGAAGTGGAACTGTGATAAATATTTTCCAACCTGGAAGCCCCCCCATCCTCAGCATGTGTGCACTGATCTCCAACTCCCCCACTAGGGCTAAAACCCAGAGCACCAAATGGGGAAGAGGTTTGCTTCTCAAAATAACCTTTGAGAATTTAAACCCTGTTATCTCACTTCATATTGAAAATACCTAGTACCACATTATTGTTTTAGTTTCTAAGGGCTGGCTTGTGACTTTTGCTACAATAATGGAGTTAGGAATAGTGCATAATTGCACATAAGTAGAACTGGTCCAACTGGTCTGCCCACTCCCCCAGTATCTGCACTGGAGTAGGAATAGTGACCCTGAAGAAACTATTAATCTGCATCCTACAAATACAGGCAGCTCATACTGCAACTTTATTATAAATGTAGCCTATATAAGGGAGTAAGGGAGTGCTTTATTGATTTTACTCCCATGCATGTGAGCACAACAAAGGTTGTACTGGTGTTAAAATTTAATCCCCCCCCCCCACATTAATACATTTGACTTTTTAGATTCTTTCTATAGAGAGTACATAGAACAGTGGACAGAGATACAGTAGACTTGTATTCTATTCCTGTCTCTGCCACTAGCCTGTTGGTTGACTTTAGGCAAGTCACTTTACATATGTGCCATCTGTAAATTGGAAATAGTGATACTAATTTTTTTGCAAAGCACTTAGAGACGTGCTGTTGAAAAGAGCTGGGCATTTATTGTATATATAATTCCTAAGTCATTTGGAATGGGTCCTCAGTTGTTATAAATCAACCAAGATCTATTTATGTCAGTTCACAGCTGCTTAGGATCTGTAGCTTTTATATTTTGGGAAGCTCGTTTAAGGGCAGATGGTGACCATTTTTTCTTCTTTATGTTAGTTGCATTGACTTATATAGATGAACAGGTTCTTAATTTATATGACGAATGAACTGTTCGCTATAACTGGTAAATAGGTACAAAAGTACTTTTGCATAGACAAAGCATAAATGTGTTCTCAGTTATACTGCCATATATGAATTCAAATAAACTCAGAGCATGAGTTAAAATGATAACATTTACAATGAGATTAAATATTAAGCCTTTATTTTCAGTGTTCAACAAAAGAGCATATTTAAAACATGCCAAGAAAAGCAAACTGTCTGTTACACATAAGTAAAGGTAAGTAGTGATGCTTTATTTATGTTTTAATCAAATTGGAAAGTGATTTTTTTCATATCTACTAATACTGTATATGATATAAAAAGACAACAAAAGAAGCTATTAGAGTTGGGAAAAATATTGCAGACAAAATTGTTATTTCCCAGTTATGAAGCCTTTATAACCCTCTGGCCAACACATTCACCTGGGATGAAGGCAATCCAGCTTTAATTCTCCTTCCTGACAGATGTAGAGAAGGGGCTTGGAAAAGGGTCTGACCTCCCAGGGGAGCATCTTAACCACTAGGCTTTGAAAAATTCCGAGGAAGCTATCAGCATCTCCTTCTGAAGCTATTCCAATCTGTATACACAGTCATAGATCCCAGGCCCCTTATGTCGAGACGTATGCTCTAATCTGAGCTAAAGAATCATTCTAATACTCTGACTCAATGAAACCCTTTCAGCAAACAGGTAAGTTATCCCAGGCTGGATTAAAAATCTTGAGCAACTAAAATGATTTTTTAAACTTTTTTTTTTATTTGTCAGAATCTTTTTGAATGTTTGCTTTCCATTTGATTCAGCCCAATAGAACATCCAACCAACCGAAGAATTAGAACATCAATTCTGTGCTAAATATTCTGTGCTAAATACATCAATAATGTGCTAAATATGCTACAGCTGATTCTTTGTGCCTTTTAAAACAACTTGCCACAATATTTGTTTAAAACTAATAGACAGCTGCTGCTACTTCATCACTGACAAGATCATGGAAAACTGTTCTACAGAGCGTGTCAAACTTTATACTCTCTTAACCCTGTTTAATAGCTTATGCTAATTCAATCTGTGGACTCAGACCAGAACTTAATAGACATATTTGAAGCAAGAAAAACCTACCACCACACACAGAACTAATTAGGATACTTACCCACTGGAAGGCTGGATTCCCATCATCTTCAGCAGGCTTTAGATCAGATCCAGATTCAGCAGAGGCCAAAGAATGATTGGTCTGGAAACTGAATGTCTCTCTCTTAATGAAGGCCTCTCTTCAGGTTAGAATTCTGTTTTCTGCAAAAAAAAAAAAAAAAAAACCAGGGCCAGCTGCTCAACTGGTGACAGTAAGCTGTGCTCTACTGAAGGCAATGGGACTACACTGATTTATACCTACTGAGGATATGGCCACTTGTCTGAGACTAATTACCTTCCATTAAACTTAAGGGGGGAAATGTTCCCACCTGGATTTCTTAACTTCTACTTATAAAATCTGGGAAGGGAATCACTCTTAGTAAAATTCTTTCAGGCACCAAGGTAGAAAAAAAATACAACAGATAAATATGTAAGTAGTATATACGTTTTATGATAGGTTTAACTACAGATTGAATTTCCCTTGTTAAAACTGGTCTCTTGATTAACTTCCAACTTCACTGGAAGTGAAGTGAGAATAATGATAGTGAAATAATTTGTTAAAGGTTATCGAACTGACATACATAAGAGAAGACAAAGACTCATAAGGGAGAATGTCTCTAACTTTCTTAGAATCTGAAAATTATTGTTCTGAGAAAAGAACATTAAAACCTGATTTTCTATAGTGATCTAAAATATGCTCTATACAAATATTTTTAAAGTTTCCAATTGAAAATACATTTCCCCCCAATTAAATACATCATCCAAATACTTATTTTGTTCTCTGCTCTATAGTCTCTGAATACCTTGCAATTGTTATTGTGGATTTTTACCATCTTATCATTTCTGTGAGCTCAACGTTATCCCATGTTTACAGATGGGGAACTAAGAGATGGCACAGATTAAGTGATTTGCTCATGTTTACACAGGAAGCTGGTGGCTGAACCTGTAATTGAATCCAAGTCTCTTGAGTCCCAGGCTACTGCTCAATAGTCTAGATCACCCATCCTACCTTGAAGGCATCTTGAGAGGAAGAGAAATGTTATGATATGGATCATTTATTCCTATTTAAATTGGCCTCAGCTGCTGTAAACTTGTGTTAGTAGAAGAGGTTTATGTCAGCAGAGTTTCTGAAATTCTGACTTTAGAGATCCCTGGGCAGTCTCAAGTAGAAAGGACCAGAGCCATCATCAATGTAGCCTTCCTTAGTACCATTTTATTATCTCCCTTTGACTTTTTCATGTCATTATCACCAGTTTTCTTCCATCCCTACAGCTGTATCTTCCCATTGCTCCATCAATGCCTCCCTCCTTGATTACCGGTCAAGCTTGAATTTGTTTTTCCTTTAAAAAAAGGAATCTCACAGCTAACAAGCTATAAGAGATGAAATTTGGAATGCCTTATTGATACACCAAAAATTCTTCTTGAAGACCCACTAATTTGAACTGAGAGGATGCTCAAGTTGGCGCTGGTAGTACTGTTTCTTACAAGAAATAAGGGAAGTTGAAGAAGCAAATGCTTCTGTCAACCTCCCACTGTGCAGACAGCAACAAAATGTGATTTAACATACACAGTTGTAGCTACCTTAATTACATAGCTGGAGTCAAATTATCTTAAGTCTACTTTCTCCTTTAGTGTAGGCCAGTCTTAAGTCTTCCCTCTCTGACATTGTCTCATTACCCCTTCCATCATAATGCACCTCCCCTTATAATGCCTCTGTTTATTGCTTCAAAGTCCACTACTTTCACTCTCCACCAGATCTTTTCTCCAGCAGTCCATGCCATCTTTTTTACCCAAGATTCCTCATATTCATGTTGCTACTGTGTTTACTGTGCATTTTGCATCTTAGAAGTGGCTGAGGATTTTTTTTTAAGTTTGCTACATCTGCTGTTTCCTGTATTAGAAGTTCATGAGGTAGACCTTCAGCATGAAATATGACACAGTATACTAGACATGGTTAAGCAAAAAAGAGAATATAGTACAAGTGTGTCCTTATACAGATTCTGTTCATTTTACTCTGAAAAGTTGAAATAAAAGCATTTCCAGGATACGGTAACTTGTAATGATAAATTCTCATGACATTTTCTAATGGAAAGGAATGCAATTTTAAAAAAGAAGCATTAGAATATAATACACTTTTCTGCACATCAAATGCAAATCTACTGCATGGTAAACAAGAAATGAAAATTTTTAGTATTCATAAGATAATGACCACAGTCAGCTGAGCATACAGCTTCAACAACTGCATGATGAACATAGGTTGCCTGAAGTCTTCAATTAAGAATAAAATAAATCCTATTAGTTATTGTTTGAGACTAGAGAACAGTTTTGCAATTAGGATGTCCACTGAGAAATACATCTCAATCTAATACCATTTATAAGTAACAAAAGTATCTGTGATAGCAATTTTATCATCTGTCTGAAGGGAGGAAATATACTTGGTGGTGGGGGGAGGGCAGGGACACACGAGGGAGATGAAATATAGAGTTGAGTTTGCTTTGCAATGCTTGAATCCAAATTAGGCTTTGAAAATCTTTCCCAGAAGCTTCAAAACTCCTACCTTGCTCCCCTTAAGAGTCATCAAGGATATTCTAGAAATAATTCTGTCTTCCAAAGGCACATTCAATTTTTACACCTTTCCACAGAACTGCAAAATTAAACCTTTTAAAGAGGGGCCAGGAAGAATGAGGCCAGAGAAGAGTGGTGAAATCCAGTCAAATTGTGATAACCTTTTGGTATTGCAGTGATTGGAACTGGTTTTTTAAAGGGATTAGCTGGAATCTTCTCCCATTCTGTCTAGATCTTTCAAGTCTAGGTTAGAACCTTTAAGAAGAATTCCTTTGGAGTAAAAGGTCAGATTGTTTATAAACCACTTGTCTCCAAGTCCTAATCCTGTGCCTCAATTTAAAAGGGGATGCAGGTGTCCCTGCTCTCAGAATCCTTTTGTCTGGAAATGGATGACAGGAAAGGGATCATGTGAGGATTACCTGTTGTGTTCCCTTCCTCTGGGGCATCTGGCATTGGCCACTGTTGGCAGACAGGATATTGGGCTAGATGGACCTTTGGTCTGACCCTGTAAGGCCGTTCTTATGTTCCTATGAAGCATCTTGACATTTAGAAACAAATAATGATATTACTATTCACTAATATCACAAACATACTTCATACACAAATTTTGTTACTGCCAGTACTATGACTACTCTAGTTAGTTCTTTCCATCCATAGCTCTTAAAGTGCACTACAAAGCAGGTTATTTTATAGAGGAGGCAATTGAGGCACAGAAAGGTAAAGTGACTTGTAACTTACTAGTGTAGTCTCGCTGTTGACTAGACATTTGTGTAGGTGAAATTATGTTTGCCTTTCCCCAATTCAGACACATCACTAGTTCTCTATTTAACAAAAAATTTTCCCTCAGTCTTTCATACATGGAAGCCTCCGGGGGTGGGGGAGTGCAGGAAATATATGACCACAATTGTATCTCCTACAGGTATTCCATTGACTTGTCAGTGGGTACCCATCTCTGTACTCCTTCTAGCTGCACTTTGTTATGTGGATAACATGGTATACTAAGCTGCTATTTCAAATCTGAAACCTCAAAGGTGGCAGGGGCTGTAGGGATTGGGACAACAAACCAATAATAATAATATTTCAGAGACCAGCAGTGGCTACAGAACAGAGTAAGTGTTTGGTTTGAGTAGCTTTTTTTGAGGGAAAGCAGTTTTGAATTAAAGCATAGAGGTGCCTTCACGGTAGAGCAATTTTTGGGTTTTGTATCACTGTTTTAGACTGAGTGATGGTGCCATAACCAATAAAATAGCAACAGTTGGGAATTTTGGACAAAATAGTTGATGACTGCTGTGATGGATGCTCAGGATTGACAGGAATTCAGGTATTCATGGCATAATTGGACAAAATCTCAAAAGCAATGTGAGCAAAATCTCAAAAGCAAATATTAATCATTTGAAAGGTGTGTAATATGATCTCATCTGTCAAACTATTATCTATGCTTTTTGTGACAATACACTAAGCAGGTAACTCATTTTTTACTTATCAATGCTACATAAAGTGAGGCTGTACTCGGGGAGACATGATCAAAGCATTCCCATTTTTACTGCAAACTCCACATCCAATCTTACATAATTTGCTAAGCCTTATTTATCCCAAACACAAGCAAACAAGGCAATTTTCATGTTAAATCTTTCATACAACAAAGCGCACATGGGGCAACTAAGACTGAACCACTGTGTTACCCCCTGCCTTCAATTTGAGGGAATCTTTCTTGTGCTTTGGTGATTAGCTCCTTTACACCATCAGACTTTCAGACACTTAAGCATCCTCTCTGGGTGATGCCAGTTCATCACACTTGCGGATTAAGAGGTGAAACCTTTTCTTTTCTATTATCCACTTGACACTAGCTATCCTCAGAAATTCCAGATCATACCCCCCCCCCCCCCCCCCTTTTTTTAAAGAGCTGGTTTATTTAAGAAAGAATGAAGATTTGACTAGAAATGAGAGCAAGTTACTAAAACAAAGAGTTACAATTGTAAATGAAATTGTACAACACAAATATAATTTAATAAAAGTGAATTTTTCCCACAAAATTCAGTCTGTTGTAGAACTTCCTTGTTGCATTAGGACAAGGATCCAAATATTTATGAAGACACTTCACAAGAGGTTTCTTTAGTGAATAGAGTTAAAGAACCTTTCCCCTCCTCTATATGTATTATATAGAACCAGTCTTAATTCATTTTCTATCCATAGACAGGGTAAACCTCTGTTCTGTTGTAATGTTCCTTTTATACCTTGAAGGGGTTTCGGTTGTTTGCAGTTGCCTCTGATGCTTTTCCATTCACAGCACTGATATGAGCAAGGCTAAACAACAGTGCTTTACATTACCCCCCAGCTAAACAGGACTGAATGGAATCAGTGAGACATATACTGAAAATATGCTTCATTAGTCACCCAGGGATAAGCTCTTTATACCCTAAACAGTGCCTGTTCATACATGTTAGAATGATTGAGAGTCTTTATAATTAATGAGATTTCTGTAGATAAATGTTACTCTTTGGTATATATCTGTAAGATATGTTTGATTTACCTGTAGTGAACTTGTCATGTCTGAGGTGAGAGTTCTTTGCAAAGAACAGGAAATCCTTTGCTAAGTCATCTGTTATAGAACACATCTTCCTTCAGGGTAAACTTAGCTCAAAATCCACAAGTCATTTAGTTAGATCTGATAGAAAGGCAGGCTTATATAAAAGAACATTTAGGATTGAATTACCTACCTGGCCAAAGTGCTGAAATCAGCATAATTGAAATGGAAGATATTCAGAAACTAGCAGTAGAAGTAGGAATACAACTCAGAGGTCCACAGATAGGATCATGACAAATAAATTGAGTCAATTACCCAAGCAGAGCTATTGTTCTACCATTGCTCTCTGTGGAAACCTTACTCAGACTCTCTGTTTGCAGATTTGTGTCATTGATTCTCTGAAGAAAACTAATCAGGATTCAGTCTGCTAAAGATAAAGTGACTTTCAAGACATCTGAACATTTTTAAAGATGCAACTATATCTTTCACATTCTTAATGAATATTTCTCTGTAAAATCACATCTGGAATTATACTAACTTTCTGGAACATTTCAAATTTTAACCTCCCATTAACATGGAGCTTACCTGCTCCTGCCCTTTCTGGGACAACTTGAGCCATTGAACATTCCTTCAGATCTTTGAAGAGTCAAGATATGGCTGGTACCAGCAGTGGGAAATCAGAGGTCAAATGGATTGTGTTTCAATTTGTGGTCTATCAGGATAAGATTAATCTGGGAGGACACATTTCTAGACAGTGCTGAACCATATATCATTTACAACAAGGAAACTTTGCTTCCTTCTTAAGAAACCGTTCCCTCCTCCCACTTATAGCATAATTGTTTACTTAGGTACATCAGTTAGTATACTGTTTAACCATGGTTATCAGTCATTGCTTAATTAAAACCTTTTGTGCCTGGCAACAAAATGCATGTGAAATAAAACCTTTAACATGTCTTAAACAGGGAGGGGAAGGAAAAGATTTTCTAATCCCACAGGAGAGGGAACAAAAAAAAAAAAAAAAAAAAAAAAAAGAGAGGCTACTGTGCAATTTGTTAACCAACGATAAGAACTAATTTGTGTTAAACAGGAATTATTAACTCTTAAGACTGGAAGTGAGAGTCAATGAGAAACACACATTTTCTTCACGTTATATTGAGCAAAAACATGAAAGTTAACTTTAATATTTTTCCAAATCCACAGCATGAAGGTAACCCATATCCCAAAAGAGGTAAGTAACTGCTTTCAGGCTCTCTGCACAGGTACTATGATGGAGAATTTTTTGGCAGAGATCTCTGAGGGAAGGGATCAGAATGAGACTCCATCGACCAGAAGGCGTGGGATGTATAGCCTTAGAGATGGGGGTTCCACAACCACCTCCTCAAGAAAAGGAGATGGGTGGTGATGATCAGGGACTCCCTCCTAAGAGGGATGGAGTCATCCAACTGCCCTCCAGAACAGGAGTCTCGACAAATGTGCTGCTTACTTGGAGCTAGAATTTAGGATGTGACAGTCTTCTGAGACTGATCAAAACTTTGGACCACTACCTCTTCCTACTTACCCATGTAGCAACTAATGATACTTCCAAGATTGATCTTGAGTGGATCACTGCAGATAGATAGTACTGGGAAGTAGGATCAAGACGTTAGAGGCACAAGTGGTGTTCTTGTCTATCTTCCCTGTTGAAGGAAAAGGTCCAAGTAGGGATCACTGAATTTTGGAAGTAAATGCGTGATTACACAGGTGGTTTCAGAGGGAGGGCTTTGGTTTCTTTGACTGTGGGATTCTGTTCCCTTTGACCAGGGTTGCTGCTAGGGAGAGATGGGATCCACCTAATGAAGAGAGGGGAAGAGCATCTTCTTAGGGAAGCTTCCAAAACTAGTCAGAAGGGTTTTAACCTAAGTTGGTCAGGGGACTGTGACCTAAGCCCTGAGATAAATGGGGAAATATGATACTGGGAGAAAACACAAGGAGGAAGATTCAACAGAAGAGGACCCCTGATTGGTATGGAGAAGGTAGGGCAATCAGCTAGTTATCTAAGGTGTATGTACACAAATGTAAGAAGCCTGGGAAACAAGCAGGAAGAATTAGTTTGACTGTGCCAGGACTTCTATGATTTGATTGGAATAACGGGGACTTGGAATGATTCACATGATTGGAGCACTATCATGAAAGAGTATAAACTGTTCAGGATGGGAGAGGTAGATATGTTGGAGGGCAGGGATAGGGTACAGAGTAACCTAGACAAATTGGAAGATTGGGTCAAAAGAAATCTTATGAGGTTCAACAAGGACAAGTGCAGAGTCCTGGACTTGGGATGGAAGAATCCCAAGTACCGTTGCAGGCTGGGGACCGACTGACTAAGCAGCAATTCAGCAGAAAAGGACCAGGAGATTATAGTGGACGAGGAGCTGGATATGAGTCAACAATGTGCCCTTGTAATCAAGAAGGCTAATAGCATATTAAGATGCCTTAGGAGGAGCATTACCAGCAAATCTAGAGAAGTTATTGCCCTTTATTTGGCCCTGGTTAGGCCATATCTGGAGTATTGTGTCTAATTCTGGGCCCTCCATTACAGAAAGGATGTGGACGCATTGGAGAGGGTCCAGCAAAGGACAATGAAAATGAGTATGGGGCTGGAGCACATGACCTACAAAGAGAGGCTGAGGGGTCTGGGTTTGTTTAGTCTGCAGAAGAGCACAGTGAGGAAGTATTTGATAGCAGCCTTTAACTTCCTGAAGGGAGGTTTGCAAGAGGATGGAGAGAGGCTGTTCTCAGTAGACATATGGCAGAATGAGGAGCAATGGTCCCAAGTTGGAGTGGGAGATGTCTAGGTCGGCTATTAGGAAAAATTATTTCACTAGGAGGGTGGTGAAGCACTGGAACGGATTAACTAGAGAGGTGGTAAAATCTCCATCCCTAGAGGTTTTCAAGTCCCAGCTTGACAAAGCCCTGGCTGGCATGATTGTTACGGTTGGTCCTGCTTTGGGAAGGGGATTGGACTCGATGACTTCCTGAGGTCTCTTCCAGCCCTAGGATTCTATGAATAAATAGATAAAATGGGACAGGAAAAATTTCCACAAAGAGCTAATTTCAGAAAGTAGTAATTTAGGCTCTGCACATTACATACATTTCTTTCTGAAATTGTTACATTAAGTCCAATCATTTTCACACTTCTCTTATATAGATATACTAGGTAAAATTTCCCCCGCTGCATAATCATTCAGTAAAAAGTAAGATCTAAGCTATAAAATTTAAATCCAGACCCAGGTTTTCCAAAGCCTAGGTGTTCATGTTAATTTGATGGAATGGTTATTAAGAACCATCATAAGCCTCAAACTTCAGATATAGATCCAAACTACTTTCAAATTTGGGTGCAGGAGCTAATTCTGGATTCATGGTTCTAGGTCAGGCTTATCTATAATGTCGGCATTATCCATTACAGAAATTAATAAATTCCCCATCAGGTAGCAATTCTATAACACTCATCATAATTAGTGCCCATATGATAACTTATCCAAAAACTATTCTTTTGATTAAAGTGGGAGTCATTTGCATAAACTTACCAACCCTTTCTTACATCACAAGACATTGCCCACAAAGCCATCTTTCTCATTTATAGCTCACCCAAAAACTCACTCACTTTGGAGCACCTCCCAAAACTAGCTGGCCATGAGTTTGATTCAAAATCCATTAAAAAAAAAAAAAAGCAATGGAAGGAGTCCCACTGAAGGGGTTTTCATCAGGCTATTATACCTATTTGTTTATCTCATGAATAAATGCTTGTCAGAGGTATATGAAGGAAGGGTAAGTGAAAGGCAAGAGCACAGAAGGGGCACAGAATACTAGAAGCAGAAAGGCATGAAACACTGAGTTATGGGAAAAGGGTAGAAAAGGTAAAGGAATGTATTGTTCTTAAATTACAGCCCCCACCTTCACCTCTCCCACAGCAACTACAGTGGCTGTTATGTCATCACACAGATCACTCTGCTTATATGTTAAAGCCCTTTCTCCAACCCTTCAGCTGTCTACATACTTTTAAAATGCACATTCTTTGGAGGAAAAATGTATGATGAAAGAGCTAGTCTATCATATGGTGGATATTCCTGCACATCATTACCATACACTCTGATTTTAGTCCCTCTCTCTAATTTCTTCTTCCTGTGATAGGGTGCTACACTCACTGCTAGAATGGCATCACCTCCTGGTCACACTGGGGAAATAGCTTTCATGATTGCTGCCTTTCCCATAGTTACACCCCATCTTTTGCATATGTGTCTGTCTTTGGGCCTGCAGACCCTTCTCTTATCCCACAAACTTCTGCTTCATGTTTGTTACTTAACCCTCTGGCCAAGTCACCAAATGATTTTCTCTTCCAGGATTGGCCAGATTCTTCCTACAAACAGGCTAAGGCTATCTTGCCATCTATGCCAAACAGTGACATTCCCTCAGTGGTCTGCAGATGAACCCAGGCCTACCTTCTACTCCAGCTTCCATATCAAGAACCCTCTAGGCAGCTGTCAAGGTGAGTTTCACCCCAGAAATTGTTACATTTCCCTAAATCCTTTCCTAACCTTCTGACCCTCCCTTTCTCCTCTAGAGCTATTAACTTTACCACTCCCTCTTCCCAGGGAGCCTTTCCCAATCACCATCCCACCCACTTTCTACTCTCAATTTCCTGTCTTTGTAAATCCAGTTCAGCTCTTTCCTCCCCAACTGTGCTCCCTCATTCAATCCTAGGATTACTTAGCCACCTGGTTCCTCTCAGATGTGGCCTGTTGTGTTAATTAGCTCAATTCTTAGGCTTCATTAATCCTGCCAGGGCAAGTGAGAGAGTGAACACCCTATTACACCTGACTTTGCCCTTCAGCGTACATTCAGATCAAGGGTAGAAAAATCTATCAGTAAGAAAGTACTTCCCCATGATTAGTCTCTCTCTTGCTCATTTTTTCCCTCAGTTGTTGCTCGGGTTTATTCTACTCTTAATGATAGAAGAGTACATTTGTAATTGATACTGATTGTCACTTAATGCCATTTTGATGAATATATCTTCTCTAGTTAAAACATTTGGGAATACTAGTAAGCTTTCATAAAATATGAATCATACAAAGACGTTAAGGACAATAGTTATTTCTTGTGTCATACATGCCCTAAAGTGATATGAAAAGAACATTTCTCTTTACCCTGTGCCAAGAAACTCTAAACAGAAACCATATTTTATAATAAAGGAACAACTTGTGCTTATTTCAAAAATGAATCTTTCACAGTGCCCTCACAGGACTTTTTTTAAAACTCCACTTCCTACCATTTTTCAGGCAAAAGTCTTGGCTCACAGAAGCCATATTAATTGAGTTTTTACTAGAGTTTCCAAACAGATGGGGGGAAAAACAAGACATCCATGATATTTGTCAGTCAGCATAAGACTAGTGTAACATTTGTAATAACAATAAAAGCTCAGTCTTTATCTGAGATTACTTTGAACAGAGCACTGACTTGACATTCAACATCAGGTTGAACATGTTCCCCTTTTTTCTTAAAATGGCCCTGTTTTTTTAACTGGCTATATTAAAGGCTCTTCATTTTAACTCATGTGTGGAACATAAATGCAAAGCTCCTCTAAACTCACACTTACAAGGCAACTTACAATGCTCAGGGCATA